AAGAATTAAGTTCATAGTGTTGCATGTTATAAACATATTATAAGCATATCAGTATATTGTAAGTGATGTTAATGTCAACCAACTAAAGAATAAGTAAATTCATGTTGCATCATTAAATCATTGCAATATTTTGCATAAAGAATGCACACCTACAGGGAAAAGGTGTATTATATACTATTAAATATATAAAAAATTAAAAGGTATTAGAATTAAAAATTATACATGGATGTAAAATTCATTATTATATGATTGCATAGACTATTCCAGTTGGTTTTTTCACTTATTTTCCAAGTATTTTTAAACATTGGTATACTACTCTGTATTTCTTAAAATCCAGGGGATGAATCAATACTAAAAGAGTGAGAGGAAAGAGCTTTTGAAATATGAGCAATTATGGAACCACTCAAATTTCCCATTTGTGAGAAGTGTTGGGGATGTCTCCAGGGTCTCATTAGTGAGTTTCAGTGCCAGGAATAATCTGGTGAGGGCTGGGGACACTTCCACACTTATGGGCAGATTTTTGGGCCCAGTTGTCTCTCTTGGGCTTATTCAATATTCCTCACGGACCAAAAGTAGTCACAGTACTTGGTCTCCAACTGACCATCTAACCTCCTCTGAATTTATAGGAAAATAATGAGAACCACCCCCCCACCCAAGGAGTTTGTTCTTATTATGGTTTCGAGAGGCAGGGCTGGATGGGCATTTACCTCCCCACACCATGTGGATTTTTGATGAACTCTTTAATTTCTCCAATTTTTTTTAAGGCAGTAATATGAGCAGGACACTCATTAGTAAAACAGCAAGTGAGAAGCTTTGATGTAAAACTATATATTATCAAAAGTGAGAAAGCAGCAAAGTGTATGGTGATACATTGTGGGTCTCATTAGTGAAAGCCTAGCCAAGAATTTACTTTGGTAGTTACTTATCCATCCTTCCCGGCATAATTGTGAAATGCACAGAGAGGCCTTGGTGTAAATTTCTTGTGTACTAGCCACTGGGCTTCAGTTTCCATCATTCCATTGTTCTGTTCTCACATTTTCCAACCTTTTCACATTTTTCACAATACACTGGGGAGGGAGAAGTCAAAAGTGCAGACATTCTACTCAAAACTATTTTTAAAGTGCCTCTGTGGTCAGACATACTAGATGGACTATTAATTTGTCTTAGTTGTAGGTTCCTAGAAGGCAGGGGACATGTCCATACATTCTTATAGGAGCCTGTAGAATTTACATCTTTGACATACCCAGAGTGCCTCAGGGAATATTTGTGGAATGAATGAATTAATGTCTATTTTGGCTCATTGGAAAACAGCATAAAGTCATTATACTGTCTCTGGTTATAAAGAGCCATGTGCTGTGGGGAAGTTACTTAACCCCTTTAACCTCACTTTTTCTCATCTGTAGAATTGGTAAAACCATAGTCTAGTCTACTTAAGATTGTCAAGAAAAGTAAACAATCTTCATTAATCACTAAACAATCTTATTACAGGTTCTTACTACTATTTGTAGGTCAATATACACAAGTAACATCATTACATTTCTAATTTGGTATTACACCTGAAGTTTTTGGTCAATCCTGTCTAATTTCAGGTGTGTTCTTTTCTGAGGAACTTATTTAGGTAAAGATATTTGGAGCTATCATATTCCGGAAAACATATCCATAGTGCTCTCCCATAAAAATCTCAGGGGAGATACAAAAATAATTTTAAATTTTGTAGTGGCCACATTAAAAATGTTGAAAGAAACAAAAGAAACTAATTTCAATCTGTACTATTTATTCTAATTTATGAAAAATATTATGATTTTATCATGTCATCAATATAAATGGTTTTAACAGATATGTGGTACATTTTTAAGTAAGTTTTTGAATTCTGAATGTAATTTGCACTTACGGCATGTTTCAATGGTGAACAGTCATGTTTTGTGTGCTCTACAGCCTCATGAGGCCCACAGCTTCCATGTGTATGTTGTAGATATACAAGATGCTAAGAGAAGCTGCCTAAATAATCCATAAATATTCATAAATGTGGTAAAATGTTATTTATCTGAAATAGCTATATATGCATACTCTAAGAGAGTGGGAAACAATATCTTTAGTATTAGTAAAGTCAGTTTATTTTTTCATTCCTTTTTTTATTGAAAAGTTAATTTGGGGGAGCACCTATGGCTAAAGGAGTAGGGTGCCAGCTCCATATACCAGGGGTGACAGGTTCAAGCCTGGCCCTGACCAAAACTGCAAAAAAAAAAAAAAAAAGAAAGAAAGAAAAGTTAATTTTGATTATTGTTCCTATCTCACTTAATCATGTTGACTAAGTTGTATGTTATTAATCAGTAGTTTTCTGCTAAAATCAGAAAAAAACACCACTTGATCCTAAAGATTATTTTTTACCTTGATTATTTTCTCCTAATAATTATTAGATTGTTTCCCAGAGTTCAAAGCTCTTGTGGTTTATTCTTCATCAGATAAGCACTATTTTTAAATACCTAAAGTCTACTAAATATAAATTAAGCATCAAGTTTTACTGTAATGAATGGTGTGAATTAGGTAAAATCAATGTGATTCTCCTTCCATAGGCAAATATATATGCTCTTAACTCATGGTTTTCAAAGTGGATTTTGAGAATGAGATGATAATGGGAGAGAGTGGCCTAGGGTGGGGCCATCCTCCCTTCCTTACCCCCACGCTCTACTGAATCAGGGTGGTTCAATTTTCATGTTTCATGTACATGCCCTTCAATGTAAGAATGTAGTTCAGAAAGAGAAAATAAAGTGCATGAACAAAATAATATAAAATTGCTTCATCACAACATCTAAATTAACAAGTAATAGGAAGTCAAACATTATCTTCCTGTGAATAATGGTATAATGTTTTGTAATATAATGTTCCTCAGACTATTTTTGCAATAATTAGTATTAAGGTTTATGAAATCAGATTTGTATTTTTTATATGTCCATGACTACACAATAATATTTCAGGCAAACAAAATATTTTTCTAATTATCTATCACATCATTCTCTCTCTTGTGTATCCTCTACAGAGCTATGGAGTGGGGTAATTATTCCATGTATGCCGACTTTGTCCTCCTGGGTTTGTTCAGCAGCACCCGTTTTCCTGGGCTTCTCTTTGCCCTCATTCTCCTGGTCTTTGTGATCTCCATAGCCAGCAACACTGTCATGATCATTCTCATCCATATAGACAGTCGCCTCCACACCCCCATGTACTTCCTGCTCAGCCAACTCTCCTTCATAGACATCCTGTGCATTTCTACCATTGTGCCTAAGATGCTGGTTGACCAAGTGATGAACCAGAGGGCTATTTCCTTTGCAGGATGCACTGCCCAACACTTCCTCTACCTGGCCTTTTCAGGGGCTGAGTCCTTGCTCCTGGGACTCATGTCCTATGACCGCTATGTAGCCATCTGCAACCCTCTGCGCTATCCTGTCCTTATGAGCCGCAAGGTCTGTTTGTTGATTGTAGGGGCAGCCTGGCTGGGAGGTTCTACAGATAGCTTCTTGTTCACTCCAATAACCATGCAGTTCCCTTTCTGTGCCTCTCGAGAAATCAATCACTTCTTCTGTGGGGCCCCTGCTCTTCTGAAGCTCTCCTGTACGGACACATCTATCTATGAGACATCCATGTATGTCTGTTGCATCCTGATGATCCTCATCCCTTTCTCTGTCATCTCAGCATCCTACACTAGAATTCTCATTACTGTTTATAGGATGAATGAGGCAGAAGGAAGGCGAAAGGCTGTGGGGACCTGCTCCTCACACATGATGGTCATCAGCCTCTACTATGGTACTGTCATGTACACATATGTTCTGCCTCCTTCTTACCACACCCCTGAACAGGACAAAACTGTGTCTGCTTTCTACACCATCCTCACGCCCATGCTCAACCCGCTCATCTACAGCCTCAGGAATAAAGATGTCACAGAGGCCCTACACAAGGTTCTGGGGAGGAGTTTGTCCTTAGGAAAGGTAACCCCTTTCTAAAGAAATTGCATGTGCTGTTAGAGGTATGAAAATGCAAGACTTTCTCTATCACCTTGGAACCTTGGAGTTGAAATTGTCTCTATCTAAAAACGTAACTGTGGGGCATTCATGGGATTTGTAAAGCAAACTGGGATTTTGAAGATTTGGTCATTTTTTTGGTATTAGAGCTCTGAACAATGGATAGTTTTGGACAAAGTGGCAATAAATTATGGTTCTGGCAGTTAGTTTTTTTTTAAAAACTGTGCTTTCTACTGTAAATCACCCAGTAACTTGTAATTGGCTATGTGCTCAGTCTTATCAAAAGAAATAGTCATCTTTAGCTACTTCTGACTTCATATCACTGCCTCTCTTTAGACCTTCTGCCAGTTAACTATTGAAAGAAATAGACTTGTCAAATATTATTGTGGTTGTATTTTAAATGTAGTGATCCCATCTTAAATTTTGGAATATGTTCTAAAATGTCCAGTGGATGCCTAAAACCACCAATACCACCAAACTATCAGTTGAGACACATTTCTGTTCATATCTTCCAACCACAAGTTTGATTCCTTTAACATCTTACCTAAGCACTTATCATGCACTGTGACTTGCTGCTTTTGTATTTTGAGGTGTGACAGTAATACTCTCCCAAATTTCTTTTTATTTATTCACAGTGTGTTTTGTTATATTATTATTTCAAAATATCATGAGGACATGAATGTTTTGGGTTACATGGATTACCTTTGCTACTCTTGAGTCAGAACTATTAGTAGTCCCCCTACCTTAGATAGTGTTCATTGGGAAACATCTGAAAGTTGTAGCTCACAGCTGTAGTAGCAGAAGAGGGAAAACAAAACAAGAAGCTATCATCCAACATGATGATATGCTAAACAGAACACATGCTATCCCACATATCAACACTAACACGTTAGGTAAACGCTTTGAACACTCCACTTAAAGACACAAACTGGCTGAAAAGATGAAAAAACAAAGCCTAATTACATGCAGTGTCCAAGAAACTCATCTAACAAGGATGGACATGGACAAACTCAATATAAAGGGAAGGAAAAAAATTCCATGTAAATGAAAACCAAAGAAGGGGTTGTAGTCATACTCATGACAAAGACAGTGAATTGAATCAATAATGGTAAAAAAAGACAAATATAGTTTTAGATAATGGTAAAGAAAAAAAGACATACAATCCTAGAGTTTCTCCCTGATTTGTTCTATGAAGCTAGTATCACCTTGATACTAAAGATAGGGAAGTACACAACAAAAAAAGTAAACTATAGACCTTATGAATAAAGATGCAAAGATCCTCTATAAAATACTATCAAACTCAATTCAACATAATGTAAAATATTAATTCACCATGGCCAAGTGGGCTGTATCCCAGGAATGCAAAGCTGGATAAACATATGTAAATCAGTAAATGTAATACACCGTAAATAATCTGCCATGGCCAAATGAGCTTTATCCTAGAAATGCAGGAATGGTTAAACCTGTGTAAATCAATAAATGTGATACATCACATAAATGGAAGCAAAACCAAATACCATATGATCATCTCAATAGATGCAGGAAAAACATTCAACAAAAAAATCCAGAACCCTTTATTATAAGAACCCTCAATAAGCAAAGCATAGAAAGAACACATCTCAAAATTATAAAAATCATATGTGACAAACTCACAGCATCATCATACTGAATGAGGAAAAGTTGAAAGCATTCTCTTTAAGAACCAGAACAAGATAAGCATTTCCAGTGTCACCATTTTATTTAAAGTAGTACTGAAAGTCCTAGCTAGAAAAATCAGACAAAAGAACTAAGGTACATTCAAGTCAGGAAAGAGGAGGTCAAACTATTGCTTTTTGCTGATAAAATAATGTATATTGAATTCCCCTAAAACTCCACTAGTAGACTCCTGGTATTTATAAATAAATTTAGCAAGGTTTCAGGTTATAAAGTAAATGTACGTAAATTAGAAGTTTGTATATGTATCAATAACAGTCCTAAGTTCAGAGTCAAACTTAGGACTCAATGTTATTCACAATAGCTACCAATAAAATAAAATATCTAGGTATATACTTAACCAAGGAAGTGAAAGATCTCCTCAAAGATCTCTATGAGTTTTCAAAGAGAACTCTAAAACAAATGGAAAAACATAACTTGCTCATGGTCAGCATTGTTTAAATGCCCATATTATGCAAAGTGGTTTACAGATTCAATGTAATTCCTATCAAAATGCCAATGAAATATTTCACAGATATAGAAAAAAATAATTATAGTATTTATTTGGAAGCAGAAAAGAGCCCAAGTAGCAAAAGTATTCATGGGGGGGGGGCATTATATTTACATTTCTAGTCTTAGAACTACACTATAATGGTATATTGTATAGAAACCAAAACAGAAAATACTGTTGGCACAAAAATAGAAACACAGACCAATGGATAGTGCATAAAACTAAGATATGAAGCCATCTGCATACAGCCAACCAATTTTGGAAAAGCAGATAACAATATATAGTGAGGAAAAATGGTCCTGGGAAAATTGGTTAGTCATATGCAGAGGAATGAAACATACCCTCTGCCTCTCACATTCACAAGAGTTTATTTAAGATGGATAAAATACTTAAATGCAAAACATAAAACACTATGAATTTTAGAAGAAAATGTAGGTAAATGCTTAGATATCACCTAAGGAAAAGAATTTATCACTAAGACCTAGTGGCAACTACAGCACCAACAAAAATAAACAAATGGGAGTTTATTAAATTAAAAATGCTTCTACACAGCTACATAAATAATCAACAGAGTAAGTAAACAAACTAAAGAATGGTAGAAAATATTCACAAACTACAATTCAGAATCTACAAAGAAATCAGCAAGAAAAACCTAAAAGCCCCATTAATTAGTGGTCAAAATACATGAATAAAGTTTTTCTAAAGAAGATAAACAAATGGCCAGCCACATATGAAAAAATGCCCCAAATCATTAATCATCAGTGAAATGCAAATTATAACCATGATTCTACTTGTATTAGAAGGGCTTTTATTAAAACGTTTAAAAACAATAGATGGCGGTATGGTTGCAAAGACATAGGAACACTTATACACTGGGATTAAAAATTAGCACAATTTCTATGGAAAATAGTATGGAAATTTCTTAAAGTACTAAAAGTAGACCTAACATTCAATACCAGCAATTCCACTGCTGGGTATCTATCCATAGGAAAAGAAGTCATTTTATCAAAAGACACTTGCACTCAAATGTTTATTGCAGTACAATTTACAACCATAAGGATATAAAATGCAGCTCTATAAAACAAAGTCAAAAGATGATCTTGGGTAAAATAATATAATCCTTTTCTATAGTAATTGTTCCTAAAGATCTGTCATATCTCTAATATGTTAAGCCTTAGTAAGAAAAAAAGTTGAACTTAAGAAAAAGAAATGAACAAAGGACATTATTAGAAAAATGGGCAAAGTTGGTATACTTTAAGGCTTCAGTGTAAATTAAAATCATGAGATATTTTTTCACTTACTATTTGGCAAAAATTTCATAGTTGAATAATATCCATATACTTGTCAGTATCAGTCAGTAGTTAATATCTCACTGTGCTCCTTGAGAGAGTACATTATTGGGTGTTATTTTGATGATAACTATTGTTAAATTTTTGATGCCTGTGACCTAGCAATTCTACTTCCACGAATTTATACTATAAAAATCCCATTTGGACATTAAAAAAGATGTTACTAAACAATAGAGTCCACTAATTATCTTTGCTAATTGGATAACAAAGCATACAATATTTATCATTTATAACAATTTTAAAAATACTAGAAAAAAAAAGTACCCTATCAAATGTATATTCTATTCTCTTCCCTTTGGCCAAGTCATGTCTGAAACGTTAAACACAAGGAAAGCAACATAAAATCCTATGCTGAAGGGGGACTGTTCCCAAATGATTCCAGACCTGGCCCTGATTGCTTTCACTTCATCTGATAATTTATTGTTTTCCACACCTACAAGAACTTTCTGTTTGAGAATTAGAAGCATGTTGCTTATCTCCTCTTTGGAGAAGTAGACAAATCACACAACATACCATAATTACTACTGTACCTTGTCACAATCTTATCACCTGAGTTGGGTATACAAAGAGTTTATATTGGGGACAAAAGCAAACGCATAATAAAATCAAGCTCTACCAGAAGAAGGCAGATCACACAACTATCCATCAAGGACAGGAGCTTAAAGGACTGGATGTGAGGCATGGAGAACTCTGCCAGGGAATGCCATGTTCAGTATGGACACACACCTCAGATGGCATAGGTAATGGATACAATCAAGAGAGCTACAACTCCAGAGCAAGATTTGCTGGGCTTGGCTCCCAGCTTCTCTACTGCCATTTGTGTGACCCTGGACTGAGTCCTTAACTGCTCTGTACCAATTGTCATCTGTAAAATGAGACAGTAATTATTGCTACCCAAGAGAGTTGCAAGTGGGTTAAGTCAGAAGACACACATGCATGCCTGTGAGTGGCTGACAGGTTCAAGTACAGAGTACGTTGTTACTTATATTAGCATATAGGGAGTCATTAACAGCACTGTTACTGTCATCTTCTTTCAGCACCATCAATACCAGCAGTAGTAGCTCTGAAGACTAGGGAATGTCTCAAAAAACATGGCACTAGAAGAGGTTCAGGGCTGAGGCAGGCAAGTCTGGCTCAACAACAGTTGCACACCCTGAGCTGCTCAGCCAGAGATCTAGAACTACTGCTACAGCCATTGTCAGAGCTCCAAACCCTCCATGCACCTTCTCTGCAACTTCTCAGACATGGGAGAAACCTTGGGAACCTAAGGTTTGTTGCAGTCATGGAACTGTAATACTTTAAAAGCTGGAGCTCAAGCTTTCCATGAAAGCCAGTAGTTTACAGATGAGAGCCAGATCAATGAAACCATTTGCTACATGTTGTCATGTCAGCTATTTGGGTATTTGCATATATAGGTGGCCTTTAGTATG